GATATGCAGACGATGATCGACGCTAGGTGAATACCACGATGTTGAAGACAACGATGATGACAACAATGATGAAGACGACGCTGGTGAAGACAGCGATGATGAAGTCGACGATGAAGACGACGCTGGTGAAGACAGCGATGATGAAGACAACGGTGATGAAGACAACGATGATGAATCAGTTAACAGATGAATACAATGATGATGCAGTCAATGTCAATAGATCAACTTCAGTGACTTGCGATGCAGGTCGAAGAATCAAATGTCGAGACAATATATATGAAGTCGATGATAAAAGGTTGTCAAACAATAATGCAGGTGAGAAAAACGTTAGATCATATTAAATGTTCTATTCTCACTGCTGGTGAATTAAAGTGTCGTCAATGTTGAACATCGAGAGAGTCAAAATATATCTTGCAAAACGTACAAGATGTAAATAGGTGAGCACGTCCACCGGGAATGGTCCGGGGACGTAGCAGTTCAATCCTCGTTGGATACAATTTTCTAGGTACAAATATCAACACAATAACAGCATGTGTGTATACCAATATTAAAACAGCTCACTGATTCCCGCACAGGAAAATCAGAAGAGCGCCAATCAACTACAGCGCGATTGGTTCAAAACAAGCGCACATGTATGTTAATAAGGCACGTGATCTAAATACTTATGAATAAATACGCGTACATCTATGTTAATTGGTCATGTGATCAAAATACTAATGAATAAACATCGTTATATAATAAATCGAGTTAAAACCAGTTCTGAGGACATGGCGTAATACCAAATCCTCGAACTCTCAATGACTTCTAAAGCGGCCATTTTGGATTAAAAAACACAATATGTATACCAGTGAATTATAAATGAATGCACTGTAACATTTGTCGCTACATATTCATAGGTATGGTTTGGTCTTTGTACTTCTGTTGAGTTCATTAGGGCTTTACTGGTACCTGCGTGTTCACTTTGTCAGGTGAATGGAAGTATTTAATCATGTGACGTCAGAAGCCAATTGATGACTTATGTATGAAGTTGCATTCAAAGGAATTGAGGAGAAAGTGATTATTAAACAGAAAAGGGAGAGATTAAGAGGGAGGGAGGGAAGAAAGAGAGCCCCCCCCCCCCCAAACAACAAAATAAAAAATAAATAATTAACAAATAATATTTAAAAATAAAGAGAGAAAGATTTTGCGATAGTGTTAATGATATAAGTGAGGAAATACATAGGTGCAGTTGGTTGTCTTGAAGTGTTAGACAAGAAAATTTAGCAGAAAATAAAGGTAGGCAGCTCCTTGCTATTCAGGAGAGGCGTATAACTACTGTAGTAACTGTCTATGTACTGATTTTCTCATACCGGTAAGTTGTTATGATCATTACGCCAAGAGTCTGGCATATGAAGTACCTTGACTCACCAACACCATCTGTTGGTAATGAACCCAAGCCGCATCATGTATGCCTTGAAGAAAGACATCCAAACTTAGGAACCACACACTGTTTGCTATAAAAACAGGATTAGACACCCAGTAAAGTATTAGTCCTAAATACATCAATAGTAATCTTCTTGCTCAATGGATCTAGCCCAACATACAAAAAGGACCTACCACAGTAACTTATTCAAACCAAGAGACCTATTATCCCCAACATGAATTGAGTTAATCTCAAAAATTTGTGGATGTAAAAATAGGCATTTGATGTCCATTGTATGTGATGTTGATCAATGGAATTTTTTTACGTTTAGGATACTTTTTAAGCTAGTTTAATCCCCATAACAGAACATCATCATTAAATGGACTTTGTTTGAAGTCTTAAGGGGATAACTGTTAAAACTACAAGTTTGCAGAGTCTGTATGTCTCTTGCCTTAAATAAGCGCTTGTTTAGTGCAGGCATTTAGAAGATTATGGTCTTTTAAGGAGATCAATACGCAATAGTACATTGTTAAAAAGAGTATCAATATTGCCAAAGGAAAAAATCAAGGGAAATGTACAGAAAAGGAAGAATCCAAAAATTATGTTAATTCCTACAAAGTCTGGATTTCAAACAATCCCTCATGCAAATTGCAAAGGCAGACATTTTAATCTTGATTTATGTAACACTCAATAAGAGATTTTGACTCATCGTGATACATTTCACGTTGCTTTATTCTTTGATTTTCTTGTTTTGGCATTGCCTGTAATATATGGATATTGACTATTGATATATGCACTCAATAAAAGACTAGCGATTTCATCAGTACTGAATATAATTGTGGAAGAGTTGTATCAATAGGCAAGTTCAGAGGTTCATTCTGTGGTCTGGAATTCCTTCACCAAGCTTAGCACTAAATCTGATTTATTGGTGGGTATCGGCTCAGTTTTGCTTCAGTTTTTGCGGCCGCGCTGATCCTCCTATAACACCCCTCTGTTATGGCCCATGGGGCATAGTCCGTATTATCGGTCTTCCATGCATCTATACACCCCCATGCTCTTGTGTACCGATTCAAATGTGGTTTACCCCGTCTCTGTTGGTGGCTCTCTCTCTCTCTCTCTCCGTTGGGAGTGCATTGATGTGATAAGCATCAGTTGAGTACATAGCAGCAGAAGCTGTGGTAGTATCGTAGCACTCGCTCACTCCACTAGCATTCACTCTGCGATTGTTCACCAGAGCTCTGACTTTACTACAGTCTAGTATTTGTTTAGCGGAGGACCTATGTCAATGGAAAGCGTTCTGTTTTTTCTTCTCCGTCCTTTCCTGCCGAGTATTTGCTGAAACGATAACCCCAGAGCTTACCATTCTTGTCCGAGTGTTTGCTCTGACCAAGTTGGTAGTTTGATAAAAAGAGAGAAGACTTCCATTAACGGTCCAGCATAATAAGGTGGTCTAATTATAGCGGTCAGTCGGCCGTGATGAGTGGTCAAGAGTGGATAACTTCCTTGAGGGTCTTCTAGAGTTACGGCTAATTCCAAAGAGTGAAGCACTGCACAGTCTATATACAGAGACCAGACGTCCATGCTAATCAGCCAGTCTCAGCCAGCTCTTGTAAAAGACTTCTTTTCCTTTAGAATTCAGGAACTATTTTCACTTTCATCATTTTGCACCAGGATTCTTCCAAGATGAGACTCAAGATGTAGTGTAGACATACATCATTGGACATACATTTTATGATATCGATCCAACATCTATATTTTACTACAATGCAAATGGATTAAAGACATTCTGTGGATACTGAATTAATTGAATATTCGCCCCCACTTGATTGGCTTCACTTAGTTTGTTTACATTCAACTCGAAGCTGGAGAAGAGGAAGAGAATTATAAGTTGATAGCAAGAGTGTGAGACATCCCGTTACTTTCTAAAGGAATCATTGTGATGCAGGAATAGATGGTTCTCTCAAAAGACTGACAGCTACAAAGGACCCGTTTGTCTGGAAGGTGAAATCTCTGCCTTGGATCTAGAATTTTTGTAATAGCCTGAAACTTGAAAGAGGAATGAGTAAAATGCCATAATGGATACAGACATGCAGATGGAGACCTATGCTATGGATCTACAAATGTGTAAGATCCAGGAAGAGCGCACTCGGAGGAAGGGGGTGCATGAAATGAGAGGAGGGATAGAAGGTGTGAAGGAGGGCTCTCCAAGCTCTTGGTACCTGTTTAGAGGCGGTCCAGTCATGACCAAACAAAGGCGACATTCCGAGGGTTCAAGGCCTAACGATCAGGTCTGTCTATTCATAAGCCCATACTTGGCCTGAACACCCCAGCCCCAGCCCCAGGCTACGTACCTTAATGAAGGGGAAGCCATACTTATCACTATTCACCGCTTATTTATTACGCAGAATGTCAATGGGAAACTCTACGAGTTGCAGTCACACATTTTGATTTTATAAAATAGAACTGGAATAACAACATGTTTTTCAGTTTTATGAAATATTTCCCTAGCATTGAATGCGCATTTTCTTTGATGTCATTATGGAAATCTTGCGTATTAATACAGTAACAACTGCTGTTTTCATAATGTATTATTGCTGCCATTTATTGGATTAAATCATTTCAAATGTTTCAAAGCAGTGATATTTGTACCCTCCAACAATGTTTTGAAGGTTAGGAGAGAATAATTTAAAAAGTGTTTGTCAAATTTATATGTTTAACGAGTCCCTTTTTACGAAATAATTCCTACCATTTATTTCGATTCTCACAGACCTTGCTGAGGAAGCAAACTGGTTCAATTCAAAATATAGCTTTTCAGTTTATTTCTGAAGCAATACAAGTAGATCTATAATTATATACACCCAATATAGTAATGGCAGGGTTTAGGTTTGATTCCTATAATTATAGATATAATTACTATACATCTATGGTTTTCATACAATAATCTTGTGTTGGTGCTTGTAATGGATGCAAAGGTTTGTTGAGTGGATTGTGAGCTGACTGAAAGTGTTGATGACATAAACGTAATTCATTCAGTTTCAACTTTTCCGTCATCTGAGCAGGACTTGTGAGATCTGAGAATATTTTTGTGAAAAGAGTTTTCATCATTGCTTTAATTGTTTTCGAATGTGGATTTGCGGATGTAATCTGTGATCAGTATGATTATGTGCAAACATATTTTTATGGTAACCACCGCAATGGTTTTTCCCTCTTCTCTATTTCTGTGAAATTGACTACTTATTAATATTTACTAATCAATGATGTGTGATATGTTTGGTTGTTTTTTTGTTGGACTAGAGGATGTAATCAGGGAGATGTCAGTGACATTGCCCTGGTGTAGTGCAGGAATTATAGTATATGTGCATTGAGCAAACTAAACATAAATGTACATATATTGACTGTTTTGTTGTTGTTGTTGCTGCAGATATCTTTTTTTTAATCGCACAGTTCATTTTGTTTACGCTGTATATCATCTATTTGTACTTTAACACAGAGTAAATGCCCTTCTGGCTCCAAACCAATGGTATTATAAATTTTTGTTGACTGTGCTTTTGTTGCTGTTTATACATTAACTCTTTGTTTATGTTGTTGTTTACTACAGGTACAGCGTGTGTCACAGTATGACAAAGTGTTACATAATCTGCTTGAAGACAGCTCCAAGTCTAGGACCGGACATCCCCGGGACCATGAGAGTCTACTAGACCCGGAACAAACCGTTAGAGAGGTAGGTCTATCATTTCCTTGGACCTAGGCCAAGCAGGGCTCCCAACTAACTTTTTTTGTGGTAGGGGCCCCTGATTTCAGTGTTTAGGGTTGTATACATGAGCCCTATGCATTTTTTTCTTATGTTGGGCATCAGGATTACTGACAAGAACTTAGCCATTATGAATTATAAGAATTTGATCAGTCCATTTTTTATTCTCATGTTTGTCTTGTCAATGTGGCTAAGATATAAGAATGAATTAAGGTGAGTCTGGTAAAATAGTTCCAGACTAACCTAGCTTGCCTCCCTAAGTACTACTTGTACTTAGCATAGAGAAGGTGGTTATGATGGGGAAGTCTGCATAAATCCAGTGAACTCTTTGTATGTAAAAGGAAATACTTCCATGTAGAAATCGGCTAATCTTTCTTGTATGGATTGATGAAAGTCCTTCCATGATATTCCCTTTATGATGCAAATGTATTCTATGATAAAGCAGAATTTTTTTTCAAACCCTTTATTTTTACCCTAGCTTGTTCTTGACTAGAAACTGAAAGCACAATCCTCTTCAAGTCCGATAAGTAAATATTTAATCCTTCCTGGTTACATTTAAAGAGAGCATACACACCCCTTTCTTCTCTGGTCAACTTTTAGACCCAATTGAGTATTTGATGGGACCCCCCTGGGCCCCTTAGGTCTGCTGGGCATTGTCCGAGAGAGAGCCAGACCCAGTCCTAGATTTTGACATGTTAGTATAAAGCTATATCAACTATAGAAACGGAGTAGTGTTTGAATCAATAGAAACTAGGAAACAAATCATTGACTTTATACGTCAATCATTCTATCGACCATTTCCTTTTTACAATTCAGATTATAATATTGTTGTACAGTGACTCTAGTCAAATATTGAGGTTACATGCCTTTTTATCTACCCAATTGTAATAAATAATATAATACCTGTATTATTGATTTTATCCATCCTAAAACATCATCATTAATTTTAAAAAAATGTACAAGTTTATTTTATGAACTTTTTTTATTCTCTTTAAGATCAAACCATCTTCCTTTTCTATCGTTTATCACTATTATTACAAAATATTATTGTGAATTAAGCCAAGGATATTGTGAGTTACAAACAATATAGACCCTACAATGTAATTCAATTTGTTGGTGATGACTCAAGGAACTGTTGTACAAACTAGCTCATGCCAATGTGTAACAACAGAACTTCTCATCCTTTCCCAAAAGTTATTAGGAAGTAAAAAAGAATCCCATCAGCTGAGCATTACGATTTGAAATATTCTGATACGGTCTATCGATTCTGCATAGGTTTATTACTGTTGAATCATCTTCAATCATAGAGAGGCTTTTGTTCTCGATGGTTGTTTGTGGCAGAGATAAATGTCCAAGCCTTTTGTGGTGCGTTCACAGAAAGAAAATAGACCACATGCTATTTCCTGTCCCTTACACTAACAGACAGTCTGTGTCTTATATTGTGGGCAATTACTTGGAAATAAGCAATGAAATGTTTGTATATCTACCATCGAGTACATATTTCTCACAATTAGAATGGATTACTTAAAGCGAAACTACTTTGCAAAAGTTAACAAACTAATAGCAAAGCAAACAAGGCTATTGTAGATGTATCATTATGGAAAGACAGAGAGTTGTATTGTAGATTTGTAAATATGTCATTGTATTATCCATTGAACGGAAATATTTAACTCAAGCTGACTCATTTGAGAGAAGTCATTTAGCCAATTTGAGGATATGGTAACAATTTATCTCTATTACAAAATAGTATGTAAACCTACTTTGTAAACCAACGAGTGTAGATGTGCTGGATAAGGTAAAGTTTGGGTCAAATAGAGACACATGGCCTCTCAGATTCCAAGTCTTGACCTCCCCCCCCCCCCCCCCCCCCAACAACAACAACAACAAAAACCAAAATTACATGGGGGCTCATACATAGACTCTTCAAATTTGAATCCAGACCCAGTTCAAAAAAGAAAATTCAGTGTGGAGCCCTTCTTAAACAGAATTGGCTCGAATTATTTGTAGTTCCTAGTAGTAGTAGTAGTAGTAGTAGTAGTATAGCACAGCCACAAATTTTATGATTGGGACTAATTAAAGATCAAAGGGAATGGCTAGTGTTACTTTGCCTTATTTTATTGGTTAATGATGATTACTTGTGGCATATCAACTTGGACCCAAAGTGGGACATTCCAAGGTGGTAATTGGTTCCTTGGTTCCGAAGATTTCAAACCAAAATGGATCAGCAGTTAAATATATGGACAACTTACGTTCAAGCCGATAAAATGCATATTGCATACCAATAAAACGGTTTGGGCTTTTCATTCCTGAATTGTTAAAATATGGTTAGCACCTACTAGGAAATAATTACTACAAAAATAAAAGATTTTCCCCCTTTTTCTGTGTGTTTTCATGCACAAGTTCAATAGATAATTATAATGCTTGCAAAGGTAAATACAATTCATGAACTAAGTTTTATGTGCTATTTTTAATCATAATTACTCAGTTTTTGTATGGTGCACTAATCTGCCTGAAAGAGGCAACCTTGAATTAAAGATAATAATTTTTAATGGCCAAAAGAAGAATTGTAAAAATTGTATTGTTCTTGTTTGTGAGTTTATGTAATAAAGAAAGCCATGACCTGTATTTCCTGTAGCTAGGTTCATTACCAAGAGATATATAATTGTCTTCTCGGTTCGTTGCTATATTTGAAAGGATTTTCCTCTCTTTAAACTTGACCCTCTTGACATGGCTTAATAATCTTAATTACAAACAATAAAATGCAATAGATATGTGTTTACACACTGCTTCATTGCTCAGGAATCAGGATAGCTTTTAATCGATATAAACAATCTTTTCATCAAGTATTAAGAATTTCTTGTGCGATGTAGGTCAATGCACTGCAATGGAAAGATTTATTCTATTGGTTGTCAAATGATAAGGATGACCTGTTATTCTTGACTCCACAGATCGTGGAATTCAAATTTGTGAAAAGGTTGACCACATCTAGTTCATCTGACTAGATTGGTCACCTCTAAAATTGACCATAAGCACTGAGAAGCGAGATTTTATTTTTTGATTATCTCGTCTGTATAATTGCTTTGAAGAAAAGAAATGTTTTGAAGTGGTCATTTATTTTTTTAATCCAGAAATTACCCCAACGGAGAGGTAAGATTTGATTTGTTAATTATCTCATCTGTTTAAATGATCTGAAGAGAAGGAATTTAAAGATGATAATATTGGGTACTGTTTTGATCGAAAAGGTAATATTAAAACTTAAGCTTTTTTTAATGTTGCCTTTTCGAGGCATAACTGAGTGATAATGTTTTTAATTACCAGTATCTCATCAACTGGTGTACTTATTTGTTGAGAGGCAATATTCAAATTAGGTAAAACGGGGGCAGATTGATTTTAAAAAAAAGGGGGGGCAATATTAAGGTCCATATGGGATGGGGTGTCCTTCTAGAATCTAGACCCCAGCATAGAAGATGTTGATGTAACTCCTTCATTACTACACAATGTTGATAATCCTTGAATACTGTGTATGTTTTACAATCTCCTTGTTGATATTTCTCTCCTAGTGATCTCTGAGCCATATTTATTTTGATATCCCTGGTCATTAGAAGATAACCCTAGACCTTTGTATCTAATTTGACAAGGTTTTAGTGATAACAATACATTATAATTCAAGGTTCTACTAGAAAACAAACATTTTATGACTTAAGTATATCTACATGTATCTGATTAGGATAATATTAGCTAACTTTATTAGAGTAGCGTTATCTAAAATATTGTTCCCATTTAACTCTTGAGCAAAAGCATAACAAACGAAATAAACAGAAATGAGGGATCACATTTGTATTATGGATGCTAAATCTACATGTAATAATATAACAAATTAAAGAGATCAATTGCATTTCTAATCATTATAAATAACAACTGCAATACTGTGATCATGTAATAGGGTCCCATATACGTCCCGGATCGTCCCGGACCATCCCGGACCCCATCCGGATGAGATTGCATGAAAACAAATATAAGTTCAGATACTGCCCTAAATTAAATTAAGTTTATTGCGTTGTCATCTTTCAACAGCCATTTGAAATCTATGTTGTATGACAGGAACCTCCCGCAGTGTTTCATATATAATTCAGACAAGATTTTAAAACGGATAACCAAAAATCATATTTAGCGAAGCTATGAATTCAGAAATCTGACAACAATGGCCGGAATGTTATCAGCAAATCTGTAGTAGATCAAGGAACCATGAAAAGTGATTTTCGAGAGATAGGAGATCAAAAATAAACAAGTTATGATAAAAGAGGGATCTATCCCAGACTGAGTTTGATTTCAATCTATTTGTTTGTGATGAGCGATCCATATTGTATGCTTTATGGAGTATAGATCTGTGAAAGGGGCAAACATAGTTTAACCTTGTGTTTTGATTGTTGTCATCAAATGTTTTAGATCTTAAGGAATTTTTTTCTTATGAACTGCCCACCACACCCACTAACTGATTTGGGTCTAGTCTATATTTGATATTAAAGCAAGTAGAAACAATATAATGAAACATTTATTACGTAGAAATTTAAAACATACAAAATGCATAATGATGCATTTGACATTTGCTGCCCCTATTTCGTTTATGTTTATGTGAAATCAGCAGAAAACAAGGTGAAAAAGCTTGAAGATAATCTCACTACATTTTGAAGCATCATTTTCATGACCTCATGTTTTCTTTTCAATAGAAGACTATAAATGAATGATATACACTTTTTGTAGATATGTTATGATGAATTATAAAATATGTTTCTCTTTTCATTGTTATATTGACTGTATTAAAGCAAGAAAGGGATGATGATTTAGTTGACTATCAATACAGGTTTGATTTCTAATTGAAATTTGCACATATAGAAATTTGACATGTGACGGGCTAATCCAGAATGGACATTATTATTATATTACTCTATCTTTCCTTCCCTCTATCATAGATTGTGAAGGAGCGAGAAGAGGAGATGTGCCAGGCTGAGAATGAATCAAAGCTCCTCCAGATCCAGGAACGTTTCACCCATGATGACCTGAACCTGTTTGGGGCCAAAGAGATGACAAAAGCACAGGTAAGTCAATTTTTCTTTTCTTTCTCACTAGATATCATCTGTTCAAAGCCGGAAGGGTGTTAACTCATTTGCTGAAGTATATGAGTTAATGGCCTTCTGGGTCCGATCAGCAAATATTATCAGTCAGTCATTTCTTCCCATGCTGTTGTAATGAGGCCACACATAATTTGTTTTTCTTTGATCATGCATGTGCACCACACAACATTGATGATGTGTATCTGCGATGAAGGGAGGGGGTGAGGGCACTTTCTATTTATTTATTTTTTGTAGAGGGGACATGACAGTGTATAGGCCTATCAATCGATTTACCTTTTTCCTTCTTTTATTTATTTTTAAACTGTATCACAGAGTGTAATGTAACTGTCTTCAAACTATAAGACTGCAACTAGTCTTTGAGTTTTAGTTCCATGGTAGATCTAAACATTGCTCCTACTTTTCAAAAGAACTCTCTGTCAAACCAATGACTTTTGTAGGGCCATCGTTTGCTTTTTCAGTCAATTACATGTATTTCTGATGTGCATGAGGAGAAAAGACCATCTGGATCTCAGTAAAGATTCCATCTAAATTGTTTCCTTGTGATTTTTCTTTGTCTGAGATATCATTAAATTTCTCAGAAGCCAACCCAAAATGAGAGATAACAACATGTAGGCCTTGGGAATGCATCTTGAACTCATCATGTGTTATTCATCATCAGTGTACTTCTGCCTCGAAAGAAGATCTCTTCTTGAAAACTTCCGCAGAAAAGTTCAAAGTTTATGAACATTGTAGATGCCATCCTCCCTCCGTCTCCCTCCTTATTCGGAGATACATCCGATTGCTTCTAGATATCTCTTGTCCCGTGAACATCTCAGCGGGTCGGAGGAGGATCATCAAATATTGATTTGTCTGGTCAGTTTCACGAGGACCTCCACGACCAGCATGTGGGCACCAATTAGGCCATCTGTCTGTCTGCTTGATCTTCTGCGGTCTTGACAGATAGCGGCATTGAAGAGGGTTTTTGTAGGGAAAGCTCTTCAAGGCTAGATCAGTTCTATTATTTTTTGTTTAATGTTGTTTGCGCCGATAGCCAGAAAGGTGTTACTTGGTACACTTCTTTACACAGTCACATACCCTGTAGCTTTCAAAAGATGACATGAGATATCTCTTTCGTCTTAATATGAAAAGTTTTACCTCTGATAGTGACATACAGCTTTCCCAGGGTTTTGCACACTGTTACTTGTCCTCAACTAGAATTTCACATTTGCACCAATTTCTCAGAATTTGATCACCCGAGTAACTAGCTGGTAGTATATTCATCACTTTATTATCTTCGGTATAATTTAGCTGGTGCCACGTCAATTTTGTATTGTCAGTGGGGTACCTGTTATAGTCATATACCTTGGCTGTTACTTCATCGCTAAATTTTACAATCTACACATTTTTTTTAATTCATAGAGGGGATTTTGGCACATAATATGAACTGAAATTTACTTTGAAAAAAATGTAGTATTGTCCCCCAATATTCTGTGTGAATTTGTTAGTTTTTATTTTTTGAAATAATTCTGTTTCCAACTTGTTAGCTTTTCTTTTCCAGAGCAACCAGGTAAATGGCCTCTGTACATGTTGTTCTTGTTATATTTTGTTCCTGCTGCAAACAGTTGCCCCTCTGTTTATGGTTCCATCTCCAATTTAAAATCATTGAAATAGAGTGTTGTCCTAGAGCAGTGCATTGATGAATCTATATGATTGTGTACAATCACTACCACATAATTGTTATGAGAAGGGCATAGAATTGATACCCCTCCTACCCCCTCCCATAGTCCAACGAACCCCACCTCCATTGTCTCCTGTATTCATGATAACAAACCTTATCATGGACCCATCCCATTTGTCTTGGTACGCCCAGGGCTACCTTATTGATTCACACTCAATGGTGACGTTCACACAACTTTAAGTTCAGAACGTAGCTTTAAACATTGAAGTTAGGGCCTATGCAGATGCACGTGTGGTTTAATGAAACTTTAAGCTAACTCGAAGTTTTAATCTACAAGGGATATTTAACGATAACTACAAGCAGTCCTCACTTGAAGTTATGTGCCGTGCGGACGCAAATGACTTCAAGGTTACGCCAGCTCGGATTAAAAATGCTTAAAAACGCTTGCCCGGCTTATAGTTTCAAATTCCAAAAACTTCCCATGCAAACCCTCATCATTTTTTATGGAACGTTGTACCATAACTTGAAGGTTTCGCTAACTTAAAGTTTAAAATGATAATGTCCATGTGTGAAAACTTCCCATGCAAACCCTCATCATTTTTCATGGAACGTTGTACCATAACTTGAAGGTTTCGCTAACTTAAAGTTTAAAGTGACAATGTTCCTGTGTAAACATAGCTAATGATAGGGAGTGATGGGAGGATGGAGATGACATGAACAGATTGTTATTGCAAATGACTTGTACTCCTCTGAACCCCACGAAGGAATGCGTTAGGTTAATAGAGCATTGTGACGTTTTATTACGATAATCAACAGAGAACATATGAACACATTTTATAGATTGGAGGGATTGCAATAAATTTAATTCTTTAAAGGAATGTAATCAAATGAATCAATACCTACATGTAGTTAGCTACATTAAAATTCATTCATATATTGGTTTAGCTATCATTGGAAGAGAAAATATGAATAAGCCATCAAAGAACAAATTATGTGCACTGTAATTTGAAGGTAAAAAAGTCCATGAAGATTAATTGGAAGGGGGTTGGTTGATCGATCAGAAGTTTTTGTAACAAGACGCAAATCATTTATTACATCTTTAGCATGTATGTGCGAAGTAGGACGTTGTTCGAGTCATGTCAGGAGAATGTTAGCTAGGGCCTACTCATAAAATGGAATAAGAAATTCAAAAAGAAAAAACTGGAGAAAAAACAGGGGAATTGGATCTTATAGTTCTGCATAATGGTAAGTGTACATGTAACTTATTGAGGCTTTATAGAGAATAATGAATGAGAGAAAAGGCCAGGATTTGAATGCTCAATGTTTTCTTTCCTTTGCATTATTTACAAATGGGCTAAGTAGTGTTAGCATAAAGGATTTAGCATGGTAACAAATGGGTGAAGAACAGTAGTCCCATGTACAGCTTCCCGTGTTTGCTGTTCACTTCTCGATGCATTGTGAAATTTTGTAGATACCGGAGAGTCCTGTAATTGTTTTTCTTCCAAAGTTTTCACAATATGTCATGTAAAAGTAGGTTGAAGAAAAGAGCAATAGTGCATAAAGATTTGGATCATCCATGGGAGGCCAGTCTCTTCAAGATATATGCGATTGATCAGGATTATACGTATTGAATCTAGGTCTTCCAATCAATCGAAAACTTACAAATGTCTACCTCTTTACTACTTTAGTAAAGAGTTAAGATCAAATTGAAGAAATCACCCCTATCTACTTACTGTCCACGAGATTAGGCCCAAAATTATCTATACTGTTACTATGTAAAGAGTAATCTCAAAAAATCTATGAATCAGATGGAAAAGCATCCCTTAATTTGCCTTAAACATCTTCTATTTTCATTGAATATGACTGTTTAGTTTTATTTCATGCTCATTGACTTTTAAGCTGAACGAAATGTACACAATTCTTTAATGATTTCAGCTTTGCCAAGTCATTTATTAGCTTTTCAGGCACCATGCAATCTATAAGTCTATATTCTACTCAATGAATTACTAATGCCAAAAAAAAATAAAAAATGAAAACTTCATTAGGTATCTGAAATCATATATTGTGATTGACATTTGTCCTCGTTGTAAATACAACTCTTATCAGGTGTAAAATCTAACATGAAAAATGCCCAATATTGCGATGATTGTTTGATGTTTTACACAATAGCAGATTTTGTAGATAACGATCTCTGAGGAAATCATCCGTGAAGTGACGTAAGGCGGTAATTGTCCATGAAAAGTGGACCAAGCAGGCATAGATCATGTCCATGGATTTGACAGCTGGCATATATGCTGATTGCTTCATCATGACGTATTTCTTGAAGTTAGATCACATATTTGGAGGACTATCTGTAATTTTATTTAATCCTCATATAAAGATTAAATGTCATGCATCATAAATTTTCATAAAATAGAAATGGCGGTCTTTCATACCTAATATTATAATAATAGATGGAATTGGACTACAAGAAGAATGGAGAACCATCAGCCTTTTGAACCACCCCAGACAATTAAATAAATAGGAACACAATGATTTTCGGATGAATTACAAGTGATTGCCATTGTTAGTTCCTGCTTCTGGGCGGACTTTGCATTAGTTTTGTCCTTATTTCAGAGCTAAAATGGTAGGTCTGCAGTTTTTGAAACCTTATCGCAATCTGAAATGTTTTTATTTCTGCAGTATTTTCTCACTTTAAAATCCATGTTCTAGAATTATCCCCTGAAATCTATTTATAGACTTGCAGATGTAATTTGAGCCAGTCCCATTTCTTCATGGGCTTACATTTTTTTAAATGAAGGATTCTATTTTTTACACCTTCTTCAAGATCTGTTTCAGAGTTTTGGTTTGATATTTGATCATGAATCAATTACTTTGGTGCAGAAATCCAGACACCATGTGGAGAATTTATATCCAGCTCTCGGCTAGACACCCCAGAAATTTCAACGTGATTCAATCAGGGAGAAAACAAATCATCATCATTGGGAGAAACATGAAATTTGCTTTAGATTTCTACTTTCTAGGTGTACACTCCACAAAAATAAAGCAAAGAATTTGATTGAAAGTGGCAGTTTGTGACTCAGGTTGCACCTTTGACCTTTGACCTGGGCAGGTATCTTGGTGACAAGACTTCAAATTTGACACCCTGCCCTGTCAGCTTATCCCTAGTTATGCTCGCGCTCAAACATGGGTAAAAAGCTTTAATCTTTGTGATCTTTGGCTAACAGGTTCCGAAATTGTTTGAAAACAGAGCGTGATCGTATTCCAACTCTGATATTGATCGCAGGATTCGGAGGCATTTAACGGC